AAAAAAAAAAAAAAAGTCCAAGATTATTGCCATCACCACCTCCTTGTCTATCATAAACTCCTTCCCTGAAATTTGCCATGGTTCCAAGTAAGAAGGTGACTGTATTTAATAGTGATAATATCTTCAGCCAGCAGCCACAGCCACTAGAATACAAAAATTAAAATGTCTGACATTGCAAGGATGTAGAACAACTTGAACTTTGTATACGTTGCTGGTGGGAATGCAAAATGGGGTGGTCACTTAGGAAAACACCATGACACTATCTTATAGAGTTAAACCTAAATCTACCATGTGACCCAGTAATTATACTCCTAGATAGCTATCCAAGAGAAATAAAAACTTCTGTGCACACAAAGGCTTACATTAAAATATTTATAGCATTTTACTTGTAATAGTCCAAAGCTAGAAACAATCCAAATGTTCATCAACTAGTGAATGGATAAGCAAAACTGGCATTAACAGATTGTCCTCTGTTCCCCTTTGTCTTTCTCAGGGTCCTCTCAGGTGAGTGCCTTTCTTCTAACACCATGAACAGTCATATTCCTCCTAGGCTTTGGGTTTGGGACTCAAGAGGGAGGGCATTACCTTTCTGATGGGAGAGCCAACAAGTGGGACCTTCTACACTAACTTAGATTTGTCCTTTTTACGGGCCTCTGATATTCACTTGCCAATTAGCTCTTAGAAGCCTCTATTGGAAATAAGGTGCTTCTGAGATTTTTGATGCAGGGATGCAGCTCAGAATTACAAGTGGCCTCCTTAATATTCTGCATCACTAGCTAAGGCTTACACAGCAAATATCCATGCCCATCAAAAAGAAAAAGTCTAAGGTAAAGTGCATGCCTAGCATAATGTTAGAGCCGTCGAATCGCTATGTTGTACACCTGAAACTAATGTAACGTCGTGTGCCGACTGTACTTCAATTTAAAAAAGTACGTGCAAGAGGTTCATAGGAATAAAAGGGCCATTATGGAAGAACTAGTATAGGCCAAGTGACATCTGCCACGACCTTCAGTCCCTCAAGAGGGCTACCCTATAGCTCACTGTAGTTCTATTATTTTTTTCTTTTTTTAAGCCCACCTGATGATTCTTAACTTAGAGCTGACAAGCTACATAGAGTACATGAGTCAGGACCAGGACTTGCAGAGGTCAAGAAACTTTATTCTTTATGAATGATCGCAGAGAAAAGATAAACATCCTCATCAATGGGGTATTTTTTTTTTCTTGTAATGGTAGAGCATCTTCCTTCCAGATCGATGTCAGCACATCCCTTGTCAAGCAGGTCTATAATTCCATCTCAGGCAACTCCTTTTATGGGCATAACAAAGTCATTGGCTGATTTAAATGAAGGAAGGGGGCTGAACATTTAGAATAAAGATGAAAAAATTTTTGAATTTTTGTGAGCCCCGATGACTAACTTTCCACACACACAAAATCACTAGTGATGAAAATAACTATTAAATATAACTAATATCACACTATACCATTATATGTGGTTTTGACTTGTTATCCCCCTTTTTTTTCTTTCATATTTGTCTAGTCTTGTGTGCTTGCTTAAAACCAATGAGGCCATGGCAAGGTTAGAGTTGAGACCAGTTCTTTAAGGGCTACTTCTTGTTCTGCTGAGAGTGTATCTTCAGTTGCCAGGGGAGGACGTGTGCATGAATTCTCTTGCCTGGGTTAAGGTCAACTATAGCCGGGTAGAATGAACCCAGCTGTGGCAAGTTGGTAAGTCCAAATTTCAAGATGACACAAAGGGATTGAGTCAGGCAAGAACCAGAAGATTTGGGGCCAAGTTAAATGCTATTGCTTAATGGGAAAGAGGAGGGGAAGGAGGACATGGAAACGCACAGGCCAGTTCCTGCTGAGATGATATGCCTCTGGAAACCCTGCATGCTTAGTGTTAACTTGGTGTTGGTTTGTGTATTTTCAAAATCTGCAGTGGGTGGCTTCCACAGTCACCCTGTGACTGGGAACCTGGCACCCTCTGATGACTTTCACCCTTTCACTGTTCTTGGGACTTGTCTGAGAGGTTCTAATTCAAAGGAAGCTTTTACTTTGAAAGCTTCAAAAGTCATTTCACTCTACAGATTATATGTGGAGTGAAAGGCGTGTTTACACTTAGCTCCAATTGCTCTTAAATCCCTCAGCTTGTTCTTGCTGGTAAAATTTATGCGAGTGGGAAAGAGATTATTTCTAGGTATGGAGTGTGTGTTAGAAGTTATTTTTTTTTTTCATTCTCATTCAACAAATATACACTAAGCAGCCGCTAGATTTGGGGGTACATGGGCAAAGTGCCTGTTTCAGAGCTTGTGCAAAGTCTCAATTCCTGAGGGATCCAAGCCCTGCTCTTTGAGCCCTGGGTCGAACCATAGACACAGGTAGTGCTGACAGCCATGTTCTTGTCATGGCTGAAGGCTTCTGGGGGATGGATCTTTGAGGAGCTACCTTAGCTGAGGCTCTCTTGGTTGAATCTCTAAGTACAGCAGCACGAGCCAAAGCTTCCTGTTGTGTAATGTAGCCTAAGGGGAGAGAAGTGAGAGAAAGTTCAAAGTCAACAGTCTTACAAAACAAATAAGCAAACAACCCTGCAAATATTTACGGATTCATAAAATGTCTTCTACTTCGCAGGGTAGAGACAGTTATGTTTAGCACACCAAGACTGTATGATTTTTGAGGATATGAAGTAGACTTTTCTTCTTTTGCATTTCTTGTTCATTAAGTTAATACATAGTCATTGATTAACATAACAGATCCCTTGGAGAGGGAGCTAGGCCTTGAGTAATCTGAGCATGCATTGCATATCTTTGTTTTCAAAACTTTCTTCAAACCAGAAACAGAGATATTCAGTCTCTGTCAGGGTTTTTAAATAAGTGTAGTCTGCAGGCCACCCACTACAGAATCATCAGGCTGAGACCACATTTAATAATGCTTTTTAAAAATTCAGATTTCTGGCTCTATTCCAAAGACTTTCCTGATCAGAAACTCAGAGAGCTAGGCCTGGAAATCTGCATGTTGATAACATAACGCAGGTATGTGCACTAAATACTGAATATCCCTGCTCTGGTTTCACTGGCCTCTCTGCAGTTTTGCTCTACAAACAAAGCTAGTAGGTGATGCTTCTGCAGGAATGCAGGCAATCATGGGGAGCAGGCCGCATCCTGGCTCTGCCATTTACTAGTCGCATGACCCTGGTCAAATGATTTCTTATCCACGCCTCAATTTTCTCTTCTGTAAAATGTGAGTTATAAAGGCACCTACCATCTAGAGGTGTCTGAGTTTCAAATAAGACAATATATGCAAAGTGCTTAGAACTGTGCTAGGCACAAAGGGAAGCCTAATAACAGGTAACTATTGTTATTGTTCTTGTTACTCAGTCATTGGCAAAAACCATGTCTTCCTTTTGTGCGAATGCAGGAACAGCAATATAAGGTAGATGTGCTAATGTGAAGTGAGCTGCTTATAAAAAGAAAGCTCTGCCAGAGTCAGGAGAAGAGTGTAATAGAGGCCAGCTGGAGACTGAAAATGTTTCCTAGAAGAAAAGGGACTTAACAACAATCACACCTCCAAAGGTTGTACTTAAAGTCTGTGAAGGTCTTTTGCAACCATTATTTCATTTGTGCTTCATAAAATCCCACGAGGTTGCTACAAGAGAGATGTCAGAGCACGGGGGTGAAAATGTATGCTCTTTGCCGGCAAGGCCCTGACATTCGCTAGGCGTATGTCTTGATCAAGTTATATAATCTGTCTGAGCTGCAGTTTCCCACAGCTGTAAAGTGGGGAGAAAATGAGATGTTGTGTGTAGAGCTCTTAGCACAATGTCTGGAACATGGTAAATGCTTAATAAGTGTAACTGTTATTGTGGTGAGTAAACTGAGCCTCTGAATTTGCATATCCAGCAAGGGGCTGAGCAGTGGTTTGAGCCTAGACCATCTGCCTAAGCCCATCTCCATTTCTACTAGATCAAGTTTCTATAAATCTCAGACAGTTGTTGACATTTTATAGCAATCCGTACTCTGATTTCTTGAAACCCTCTTAATTTACCCATAAAACCTTGCTTTCTATTGTCAGGGATAATCATTTTTAAACATGGCCTGCCAATTGTGTTATAATATAGCACGCTGGCAGAGGCCATTCTATTTGAATTATTTATCTGGAAACTTGACTTCTGGCTCCAGCACACAAGTCCCTCCCAAGGGTGCCTGGTTTAGGTCAGGTAGTTAAAACTCACCAAGCAGCTGCTGGTGCTGAAGGCTGTGAATATAGCGGTTCTGCAGGGCCTCCCACTGGGACCTGGAATTGTAAATCCTCATGATGCTATAAAAGTAGCGTTGCTGCCCTTGGGTTAGGTCCTGTCAAAGCAGAGCAGGTGATTTTGATGAGTTGGTGGAGTTCTATAGGACTAAGAGTGTGATGTATTCAAAGCTGACTTCTTTGGAAATAAGATATATATGTATACATATACATATATATGTATAACAATTTTATATATATACATTTCGCAATTGGAAAACAACAATTGGGTCATGTCTTCCCCTGGTTTACTTAAACAACTTCCACTGGCCTGTGTGATAGTGAAATTGGGTAAATAAAAGATTCTAGGTAAGTAGGTCAAGGTATTGGGCTGAGAGGGGTCTAAGGATTTCCAACATTTTATAATTTTATTCCTGTATTATGATCCTTGTTGAAGAAGGTAGGCTGTGAGAATCTACACAGGGCCTGACGTAGGCCAGGCCAGGGAATGGGGACAAGAGAACTTTTCACCAAGAGTTGTTAGTAAGCAGGGGAGATAGCTAGATGAGTAGATGGGTAATGTGATAAAGGTTCAACATTATTACTTCAAAGGTGCTACAAAAACAGAGAAGAAAACAAAGTCTGTGCAGCAATCAAGGAAGGCTTTTTCAATGAGGTGACCAAAACATCTGAGTCTTAGAATGAGGAGGAATTTCCCAAGGAACTAGAATACTGGTTCTCAAAGGGCATCGACATCACCTGGGAATGTGTTAGAAATGCGAATTCTCAGGCCCCATCCTAGATCTACAGAATCCTAAACTCCGGGGTGTGGGGCCTGGCACTCTGGGTTTTAACAAGCTCTCTAGGTGATTCTGTTACAAGGACACCAAAATTTGAGAACCACTGTGCTAGAAGAAAAAGGAAAGCTAATTAGTGGGAGAAAGTGGTGTAAATTTTCCTATGGGACACAAAATGTCTGGATATATTAGAAACCAGATTTTTTTTTTTTTTCACTTCAAGCAGAATATAGAGTCTGAGCTGGGGAAGGCTGTAGAGGTAGGCAGAGGAAGATCATGGAAGACTTATAGGCAGTGTTCACATTCAAATTTAAAAAATAAGAATTAAAAAAAGAGTTGAAAGATTACCTTTAATATGAGGAGCCATTGAAGGTCTTTATTTAAGTAAAGTGGTTCTCAACGGGAGTGATTTTTGACCACTAAGGACATTTGGCAATGTGGGAAGACATTTTTGCTTGTCATAAATGGTGAAATGGAGGATGGATGCTACTGGCTGTCGGCAGATAGAGGCCAGGAGCGCTGCTGAACATCCCACAGTGCACGAGACAGCCTCCCAGCCCCTCACAACAAAGAATGATCCAACCCGAAATGTCATACCTGAAAGATCACTTTGGCCCCACCGTGGAGAATGAGCTTATGGGAAGACAGGCCACTGGTAGGGAGAGCATTTAGAAGGCTGCCATGTAGTGCAAAGGAGGAACAAGAAGGACCTGGACTACAGTTACTGTTCTCTACCTAATCTGTTGTCAGTGCTTACGATGATACTGGCCTCAACATTCTAGAAAAACCAAGGTGAAATAAGTTCACCCTAGGCCACAAAATTCAAAACAGTGATAGACGTTTCAAAAGTAGTTGATAACCATTGTTAACCATTATTTAGTTATGGAAACTAAAATTAAGTTAATTATATGTAACAGTAAAGTGGCTTTTATCTGTTAGAAATTTTGTGTGGAGTTGAAACCTCTGAGTCAGATTTTTTTTTTTTTTTGATGTCTAGAGACCTTAAACTTGATATCAAAAATATATCCAGAGTGAAAGCCAAGCCAAGTACTTCACAATTTGAGGCATCATTTGAACTTTACAGTTTCTGAATTAGATGTTTTAAAAAAGAATATCTTTGAAGAAGATAATTGATTCCTAATTAAGCCTTTTCCAATGATGGAGAACAATATAATATGAAAACAGCAGTCAGTTTCAAGAGCAAAGCTCCAAAGGGCAATGAGAGTTTCCATTATATAAGCTAAAATCTTAAAAGTTATGGTTTTATTTTACAGGGGAAAAAAAAAAGTCTATGTCTTTTCCTTAGCAGAGGTCTAAACTTCCTAAATAATAGTCCTAATATTCTTACCCTGTTGTTTATCCTTCTTGAGGGGATGGAAGAGAACTGAAATTTTTGCAAAAAGTATTAATGACTGGGTGTTGTACGAAAACAATGAGTCGTGGATCACTGCATCAAACACTGGTGATGTTTTGTATGGTGACTAACATAATAAAATAAAATTTAAAAAAAAAGTATTAATGAGAATGGCTTTAAATAACTGTGACTGAAAGGAACTACCATAGCTCTCTAGCAGGGAGCTACAGCGTGGTCAGCTGTGAACTGCCCATCACTGGGAGTGCTTCAGCAATGAAGATGTGACTATCTGCAGAGCTCCTGAAATGGATGGGTGTAGGACCAGACCATCCAATTGCTCATTCATTCACCCTGCACACCATCAACATGCACTGAGTGCCTATGTTGGGCCCGATGTTACCTGAAGCTGGATAAACAAAGACAGGAGAAAAAGCCCTCAAGCCTTGAAGGAGAGACAGGCAAGTTCCATCCATTAGTGAATGATACACTATACCTTCATTAAGGGAGTGTTGTGGGTGTAGGCAGAGGAGGGGACCCGAATGCAAGGAATCCGTGGAACATTCCGAAGCTTTTGTTGTCTTTTCTGTTTTTCTCCCATTCTTTATCCCGTACCTTCAAGGAACAACAAAGCATAGCATGAAATTTCATTTTGTTCAACCTGTTTTGGGAATGGACCTAAGTAAATAAGTAAGCAAGCAAGTAAATAAATAAATAAATAAATACATGTTATTGATGTCAAGGGATAAAAAGTTTTCTCACATGTTTCTAAGTAATTGGATCTCAGCAGACTGCTTAGTTCTGCATTTTGCCCTATTCTCCCCCACCCCAGTTGTTGAAAGAATAATTCAGAGTTTTTTGTCTTTCTGCTTCATCTTGTGTTTGCAACAAGTGGACTGTAGAACCACATCACGTCAGAAGTTATTTCTTGATCATTTTAAATAATAGTTATTACCTTATTTGATTGTAAAAGTAATATATGTCATTTTTGAAAATTTGAAAAAAATCTAAAAATTGAAGAAGAAAATATGATTATCCATAATCTACTGTCCATAAGTATTGGTGGCATTTGATTGATTTCCTTTTACTCTTTTTTTCCTGGGTACATTTTGATTTTAGAAAAGAGAGACCATACTCTATATGTTGTGCACTTTCCCAGCTCATGGAATATCCCTTAAAAAATATGATTTTTAGTGAAAGTATAGTATTCTTTACATTATTCTCCATTTCTTGCACATTTTGATTTGCAATTTTACAGCAGTGTACTATAAAAGAAACTGTTAAACTTAGCTGTATTTCTTGCCACTTGCCTGACAAAATGAAGGAGCCACACCTGCTATGAGTAAGTCTTTTTTCTTTACTATATATTTTAGGGTTTGGAATCTGAGATGTCTATAATTATAAAAAAAAATTAATCAAGGGGTAGTGGATATATTAGAATAGGGTTGCCAAGGCATAGACTGAGAATTCCAAGCGTTTTCCCCTCTGCTCACACCTTTGTCCTTGCCAAACCTACCCCATTGGGTTGTTTGATTAACTGAGATCATGGCTATGGAAAGCTCTCACTTTATGTGAGCTCCTTTTCTCTCTCCTCTCCCCATACTTTATGCTCTCACGCACATGCACACACAAGAGCACACACATGTACACACTGAAGAAGTATTTTAACATGTGAGGAGTCTTTGCTTCTGAATTCACAAAGTGAAGGCTCAGATCTTCCAGAAGAGAAATTTATTAGGAAAACATCAGTCAACATCTCTGTGTGTCCTGTTTCCACGATAAAACTTATAAATTAAACTATAAATATTTTATTTAATACTGCTTTCCCTCATCGTGCACTTCAGAAACTATACCAACTAAGATAGACTTTTAATATTCTCTGTGATAGAAGCTAACACTCTATCCTGTACTCAGATCATCTCAGTATCCCTCCTCCCGTTTTCCAGATCTGTAGAGCAGAGCATAAATATTCTTCAAAGCTAGAAGGATTTCTTCTTTCCTCAAATACCATAAGGAAATGACTGACAATCTTTCTTGTGGCAACAATTCATGTGTGCTTTTCTTGCGCTATTGCTGAGGAAATCCGTCTTACCTATTCAGGTGGACTATACCTGGTAAAGTTTGATTAAAATGCTTGGAGAATTCAAGGAGGACAAATCTACCAAATATCTTTTTTTTTTTTTTAAAGATTTTATTTATTTATTTGACAGAGAGAGAGAGACAGCGAGAGAGGGAACACAAGCAGGGGGAGTGGGAGAGGGAG